GCTACCTCGAGGTATTACTACTCTTGTCTGCTGCATTTTTGGTCCGATTTCCGGGTTTATTGAAACAGTGATAGATTGATAGTATTATGTGTAGTGCATTCGGGACGTGACTGTGGTGGACGGCGACCGCATCCGCCGCGGCTTTCTGCGCGTCATCAACTCGATCGAACTGGCGTGCTGTCCGTCGCTCGAGGCATCGCACGGCCTTGCGCGTGGCCAGCTCTACCGGGTACGACGACCTCTCGGATGATGGACAACTTGTCATATGAAACGAGTAGTCGGGCCACATCTTGCTCGAGTCTCTGGACCACGACGGGCTCTTTGACTTTTATTCGACGTACGGTGGCGATGCAAGTGGATCGATCCCACGCTCGATCAAGCTCAAGGCCATGGAGCATTTTGTGAGCCAGGTAGAAATAGTTTGATAGACAATGGAACCCCTCGAATATGGATCGATAGATGCTGCGCGTCGAAGACCACTTCTGCCAAGACCGAATCCAAACCCGCTTCGCGACGCAGCAACGCGCGTTTGTGGCGCCGGCTCCGTTTCGCGCCAAAGCGCCGTTCTGCGAACTCTGCTTCAAGAGCTTTCACCTGCTCTCGCAGAAGCTGCAGTGCTTTTTCTGCCACAAGGTAGGGATCGTTTCGATGATGGAGACGACGACACGGAGTACGTAGATGGCGTGCAAGCGCTGTGCATACGTGATCCACGCGGAGACGATGGCCTTTCCAAAGAAACTCCGCGTCTGCACCACCTGCTACTGCCCGACAGCGCGCCGCCGCACGTCGACGGCAGTGCACAGCGGTTCGTGCTTTCTCAACGACGAGCTTTGGAGCCATGCAAAAGTATGTAGACACGCTCTCGGACGAGGCCAGCAGCGTATTCGCCATGGGCGGCCCCATCGCGCTGGACGACGACGACGACAAGCCGCGCACTATCCAGCTGTACCATCCTAGCGAAATGCGCCAGAGTTCATTGGCGCAGCCCACCACGATCGACGACGACGACGAGTGGGGTTTTACTCGCACAACCGCCCTCTCGGTACTCGAGTCGCGATCGTCGTTTAGCTCGTACGCACCGTCCGCCGCCGCCGGCGACAGCACGCGCGGGCAGTATGGGTACCACTAATTAACGTGCAAGTTTGAGTTGAAAGCGTCGTGGGCGAGATAGATAGATAGATAGATAGACATCTGCGCCCCCAAAAGCATTGACGTCGATGGTACTGAGTGGGCTGCCGACCGACGGTCTACTAATAGTACTCATCACGCGATACACTCGAGGCCGTGGCTCGCGGAGGGTTGGCCGTGCGTTCCGAAGGGAGTTCCAGTCGAGCCAGCAACCGACCTGTCATGTGAAGAAGCCTTGACGCCCACTTCGGCGTGGACGGCGTGACGTCAACACAAAGTGATCGTGTGACGCAACGACGCTCGTCTCGTCAACGCAGATGCCATGGGTCTTGTCTGTGCCGACCCCTCTGTGTCGCTACTACCTCGTGAAGCAAAGACAGGACGGTGGTAACGCTGTCTGCGAACGTGGCTGGATTCCAAGTCAACATCCCCGTCGACTTGCTCCTGCGTGTGCTTGCCGCTGGACGAAATGCACGAGTAGCTAGACGGCTGGAGGCTCGCCGACCAAAATTTACGGGGGCTCTCAGCACAAGGGCAACTGCCACCTGGATGATTGTCGACGGCCGTGAGTCACAGCGACCGCCAATGATATCTCACGGTTGCCATTGGAGCAGCTGGTGACGTGCTGTGAATTGCCACAGGTAGTACTTATAGCTGCCTTTTTATGGCCAAGATCATCTCCCCATGGCCTCCAGGATGCATGCCTGCTTCCAGCGACCGCCCACCAAGCGCCACGGGACATTGAGAAGCACTGCAAATCCTCTTTACATGAGTGCATCCCCGTGTGGGTGACATCCTACGATGCGCGTGCGGCTGTTGCGACCTCCTGTACTTGGCTACGGCAATTGCGGAACCAGACGATGCCTTTGGGTTGAAGAGCTTATCCAAGCGCGCAGTTTGCGAGCGGTGCGATGGGAGGGATGTCCTTGCCGCTCCCGCCCGACTTCTTTCACTGCCCGCCGCTCTCCGCGTCCGAGCGCCAAGCCTTCGTGAACCAAGCGCACCACATTTGCTTCCTCACAGCGCGGAACGCAGTCTCGATCGCAGCCAAAGGCCCACCGACCAAGGTGCTGGTCCACGCCCAGACCAAGCGCCGTCTCCAGGTCCAACGACTGATACGAATCAAGACGGATTGAGCGTGTCGTCATGTAGATCTACCACGGCAACGACGTGCTCGATGCAACGCTCGACGGTGTCGTTGGCGTCACGCAGGTCCACGCGTCGTGGGACGAAGTCGGTGACTTTTACAACTTGAGCAGCGCGGAGAGCGTCGCCACGTTTGGCAAAGTCTTTGCGCACTCGACGGCCGACCGGTGCTCGCTGTACACGCTGCGTCGGTCGACGAAGCGGCCGCTCAAGTACGCGGGCATTTCGTGGATCGCGATGGACTGTCCGTCGCCGTTCCTCAAGCGCCGCGACTCGTGCGTCCTTGAGGTCCTCCGCACTGACTCTAAATATGTAGTACGAGGTTGTCTGTTATCCTCTATAGGCCATTCGCGAGTACGAGATGCAGTGCCCTGAAACCAAGGCCGTGCGCCGGTGTTGGGTGCGCGCGCTGCACTCGCTCGAGCTCGACTGCTGCCCGTCGCTCGAGCAAAGCCACAAGATGGTGCGTGGCCGCCTCGTCCGGGTACACTTGTTTGTTTTTTGGTATCAAGTTGAAATGATCGATCTATCGATGGCTAGTCGGGCCACGTTTTCATGGAAACGGACCGCCCCGGGGTACTCAACTACTTTGTCGTGTACATTGGCGAAGCGTACGGCGCCGTGCCCCGGTTCGTCCAGCAGTCGTGCCTCCAGCGAATGCTGCCACCGGTTTGCTATGCCCGATCGTGCATCGTACGTCACTCTACTCGTGTAGATGCTGCGCCTCGAGCCGCATCTGCAGCGCCAGCGCCTCGCCTTTTACTTTTTACATCACCCGATGCACCCGATTCGCGTCGCGCGGCGCAAAGCCGCCGAGTGCGGCTGCTGCCGGACAGCGTTCAGTGTCTTTAGCGGCCCCAAGACCATGTGCCAAGTCTGCGAAGAGGTACATTCTGGTCTCGAATCTTACGAGATGACGATGTGGTGCTAGACCATTTGCAAAAGCTGCCACCTTTCGGTGCGCATCGACCTTCACCAGTCGACCGTCACAGTCATGGTCTGCACGACCTGCTACACTGGCATGCTGCCACGTACACGCCATCTTGATACTTGATTGATAGTACTGAATTGACGAATAGGAACGGAGTTTATGCGCCGTCAGCATGCGGCGTCGACGATGGTGACCATGTCCATGGTCGACGGCGAAGCCAGTCGGCTTGGCCTCGACGCGTCGTTCGTGGCCCAGGCCGAGACCGTCGAGCAAACATTTGGGCTGCCGTGTGTTCAAGTCGGCATCGATGGCGCGATTGAAGTGTACGACGAGACGTCGCCGTCCGGGAGCAACCACACGTCGTTGTAGCTTTTCCAGCGACTTCATTTGGTGTTTAACTACATGTCCATACTATGTCCCGATCGTACCCTTTTGTAGCATTTTGTGTATTTAGTTAAGAGCAATGGCAGCGAATCCAAACGGTCATGCAACAGACATGACTTGGCAATGTCGTACTACGCAGATTCGCACGTCGCCGATTGCGTGCGATTCAAAACAAAAGCAGCCGGGGTCTTGAATGAGGTTCATGGCATTTTGTATGATTGCACCTTAAGCGCATCCAACACTTTCCACGACGTCACGTCCCGCAATAAATGTCCGAATCGACGCCAAAAAGGTCATATCGTTGTGGACATTCAATGAATTCGCGTACTAGTATTTTTTTCAATCAAACGTGTTCGCGTTGAAACCATATTAGCAAAAACTAACTCAAAGACTTCGCATACGTAGTGCTACGCCTGAATGCGTGGGAGTTGGCACCAGCACTGGGTCGTTGGGAGTGAGCTGCGCACGGAGAGATCCATCCCGTGGTGGACCCCACTCGCCGAGGGTTAGCTCGCTCGAGGTCGTACGCAGGCTCCTGTACTCGGACCACCCGACAGAGGAGTGCAAGCCGTGAGTGTGTTTCAAACGAAACCGTCCGAGCCCGCATCCGAATAGATCCGGATACCGACCGAGCGCATAGAACCGACGCCGCACGCGGCGAGGCCGGACGACTGGTGGCGGCGCGTACTAGTAGCGGGAAACAAAACTCGAAACGAAATATGCACGCAGACACGCTTACGAACGCCATTGGTACGTCCCAGTGAATGGCCTCTGAGCACTCTATGGGCCGCGACGATGCGAACGCGGTCGATGGGGACTTGTTTGACACGCTTTTTATTTTAGGGCTAGGGTTCTTACTAGGGATAGGGGTCTTTCTTCCCGAGACCACGATGCATGGGATTCTGGGATTCCCAACATGTGCAAGATCAGCCCACGCACCACCAAACCAATGAGTGAGCGCGATAACCCAAGTCGTGGTGCGCTCACCTGCCGCCGTTTGATGTGGCGACGACGACGCCATCGCGGGTGCTGAACCTCTCGACGGTGTGCTTTGAGTTGGATCCATCAAGGCGCTGCAAATCGCTCGTTACATGGCCCACACAACCACGGTTAGCATTTACAGTCCAAGGGTCTATAAATTGTCTATAGACTCTTGCAGTCTTGGGCAAATGGTGGCGCCGACCCTGGGGCATGTACCTCTTATTATCGATTTGTTTCAATATTTGATATATTAAATTGTTGAAGTGTGATGAAACAATATGTATCTTACCTTTATAATCCGATATACGCCAATAAGCAATTTTCATGCTACCTGTGTATTCCTACCAGTCTTACCCGCTTGTCATTTGGCCTGGCGCGGCGATCATTAATTTGCTCCAGTCTGCAACATATAGGCTTGGATGATACTAGTAATGCTCGGGGCAAAACACCCTCGATAGTGTGCGCGCTGTGGGGTTCGAGCTACCGACACGTACAAGAGTAGATTGATTGGTATCGGTAGCTCCCCTCGTTGCACGGTCGTTGTGTTCTCGGCTCGCGGGTACAACTCTGTCTGGACCTGATGCCAACATGTGACGATGCCCCGCGGACGCACCTTGTTTGTAAAATAAAGTCGTCGCGTTCACACAACACAACGAGACGTGACTGCGCTCCTCATGGACGAACGACTCGCATCGCGCGGTCGTTCGCATTGACTCAAAGCTGCAGCGAATTTCGGGCCCTGAATCGTCGATGAATATGTATCGCCGATCACAACGCCGGTCGGCTTCAGGCGTCGTATAAAGCGTCAATAAACAGTTGATGATCCTTGGTACAATGTAATAGTATGAATACTCGGTATCGCGACATTGGGACGCCACCGCGCATTCGAGGCGCGCGCGTGTCGCAGCGCAGGACCTTCAAATGGCTCCGTAGCAGTTTGCGTCATGGCTGATCGAAGCAACTGCGTCGTGCGTCATTTCGTTGCAGTCATCACCAAGACCACCACCCGTATCGAAAGCATACTGAATCGCTGCCGCCAGCGTGGTTCTTGGAAGCACGCAAGGAGCCCGTCGACGCGCGTCGTTGCACCTCAAGAACGTCCATTGAGGTTCAACGCTTCGAGTGACGGAAGAAAACAATCAAACTCTCGGTCGGGCTGTCGGGCTACACGAATGCAGTAGCGCAGGAAGCGAGAGAGCCATTCAGATGGCGCTATCACATTCAAATGATGCGTCTCTGCATCATCGCCGCCTTGTTCCATAGGACGAGCGGGACGCTGGCAATTGCTGCTGGCTACCTATCAGGCCACGCATGGAATGTGATTGTCTGTCAACAAATTCGATGATTCCACGTCGCTCTGAGTCGTTTTTAAGTTTCATAATCCATTCTTCCTACAAACATCAAGTACACGGATAGGTTCAAACTCAAAAACCCGTTCTTAATCGGCCACATGGCACCTGTCGACGCCATCTGGCCAACGGGCGCAGTTTGCGATCGTCTGGCCGTCACACACACATCAATGCCGTCGTCGTCGTCGCTGCCGCTGCCGCCCAACTACTTTCGCCCGCCCAAGCTGGCACCGCTGCACCGCGCCAACCTCATCACCAAGGCCCACGAAGTCGTCCAAGACACGGTCAAGAACGCGCTCTCGATGGCCAAGCTGCCCATCATCAAGGTGCTTTTGAACCCTGCGACGCGCCGCACCGCCAACGTACGCCGCTTCTCTCTTGGTTCTTGCATGAAATGGATCCGCGACTAGATGCACGAAGGTGTCGATCTCAAGGACCCGTCGCTCATTGGCATGACGTGCGTGACGCCGGTGCGCGCCACCTTTGACGAGGTCGCCGACTTTTACACGCTCAACTCGCCGCGCAAAATGCGTGCGTACGCCGGCGTCGTGAGCCAAAACGTGCTGGACCGGGTCACCTTGTACACGCTCGTGGGCGACGACACGGACTTGCACTTGCCCTTGACGCACGTGACGGTGATCTGGAGCGTCATGGAGAGCAACTTTTTGGCCAAGTCGATTGCGATGAAGCGCGATGCGTGCTACCTTGAGGTACACGCTCCATCTTGTCAGAACAATCGACACGAGTGTACGACATACGACTATAGTGCATTAGTGAAAACTACCTCGAAGACCCGGCGACCGGCACGCTGCGCCGTGCGTGGGTCCGCGCCGTGCACTCGGTCGACATGCCGTGCTGCCCGTCCATGCAGTCGTCGCACGGCTTTGTGCGCGGCCACCTCGTGCGCGTACGTGTCTCTTCTTCCAATGCGATGTCCAATGTGGAGTGACGGAATGGGATCGATGCATAGTCGGGCCAAGTCTTTTTAGAGACCGACACGCCGGGCGTCCTGGACTTTTACTGGTGCTGCATCACCGAGCCCAACGGCCGGCTTCCCAACATGATTCACCGCAAGGTGCTTCAGGGCATTGTCAGCCAGAGCTTGAACCTCGAGCAACACTTTTGCGTCGCGCGCGCCACTGCGTACTTTGCAGCCCAAGCGGCCGCGTCCGAGCCGAGCCAGCTGCCGGTCAAGTTCGTCAAGAAGACGGCGTTCTGCGAGCGCTGCGACGTCAAGTTTGGTCGGTTCTCGACCAAAACGCAGTGCCAAAAATGCGGCTGGGTATTTTATTGCATTGATTTCTTTGGAGGCGGATGCCCACCATCCCACTTGTGTAGGTGGTCTGCAAGCGCTGCTGCAAGGCGTGGCCACTGCAGATTGCGGGCCATGTGGTGCCCACGGTGCTCTGCACGCACTGTCTGTGCAGTCGCCCGGACGGCGCGTCGTCGGCGTATGCCAACCAAGTGCCGCTCCTCGAACTCGGTACGCTGCTGAAATGCAAGAGGCAGTGGCGTACTGACGTCGTGCTACTAGAGGGTCACAAATCATCATCCCACCTCGTAGACGACGACGACGAGGAAGACGGCGCGATTTCCACGTGCACGGACGCGAGCTCGGAAGACTTTTTCGCCTTCAAGACGCTGCCGCGCGCCAACACCCTCGAGTCGGAACTCGGTGCAGTCTGGGGCGACGACATCCCGGACCTCGCCGTGTCCGAGTGCAGCAGCCAGAGCTCGTTCGCGCCGTATTTGTGATCATGCGAGAGAGTTCTTTATTTATGCCCGTCGTTGCTCTTGTGTGTGGTGCGATCGCCTCAACGGTGGAGTCGCCTCGACAGTTTAGCGCCTGAAATGGGCAAGCGGCAGGTTGCTCTTTGCCTCGTCATGACGACGTTGGTCTCGGAGAAGGCACGATACGAAGCTTACTCCACTCGTCGGCTCCTCGATAGCCATCGTTTGTCGCACTGTCGTTGTGCCGAGACAGCGAAAAGAAAGACGGAGGTCGCCGAAACCGAACCCAAAGCTGCCCTATCGGACAGGTAGCACATGCGTCGTTTGGACCGATATCGCCAACTTAAAGCATCGAATGCAACCAAGTCGTTTGTGTGTGTGGCGGCGCCTACTCTGTTGAAGTTAAGCAATCGCCTACTGGTACGCTGCAAACGTGTCAAGTGCGCTTCGGAGATGTAAAAAGGCGTTTGATGCAACGGCCTCTGGAAAGTGCAAAGCGACTTTGCACTTTCTATCTCTCACGATTACATGATTCTTGGCCTTCGAGGTGCGGAACCCTAGGTGCTAGGTGCATAAAATATTGAAGTCTACTACGTGGATTGTAAACAAGTGCGCGCAAAGCGACGGGGACAATGATGGTAGAATGTCCATCCATCCCGTGTGCAATAATATATCAAGGGCATCCCTCTTGCCGAGTTGTTTGCGCAGGCAGCGTTCTACCAGCGACGCAACGTCGTATTAATAGTACGCTTCTTGTTGCAGTATGGTATTTTGCAAATTCGCCAGCAACCGGCAAAGGATCGGACGAAGCAGCGCCGCCCTGTCCTCGTCCTTGGAATGTGTGGTTGCATCCTTCACTTGGTTCTTCTCGACGAGCGACCAGTATAGAACTATTTAAATATCTAGATACTGGATGCCTTCTATCAGTCCTGAATCTAGCAAACGCAGCCAACAATCAGCTACAACCGAGCACAGCAGCCTTCTCCACTTTGCCGATGTAACGCGTAGTGCAACCCTCTACAGCTGCCACGTCATGACCGGGTCAACCAGCCACCCAATAGAGCCATGTGGTAGCGTGATAGAAGGTCATCGGGAGAGGCAGAACCCGATTCGCATCCGAAAAAGACATGCACGCGATGTGGCAGCGCGTGTGGCTGGGCCTAACACTGCCTGCGACCGCGTCGACGTTCCCGTCGTCGCTCTCCAACGACAAGCGCGCATCGACACAGCGCTTCTTTGGCAAGCCCATCGAATGGGTGCACGGCAGCCCGCGCCCGGCCTACAAGGACGTCATCTACATGCTCTTGCATTGGAGTTGGCCGCGGCTCTGGTGCTTTGTGACCGTCGTCTACTGCTCCATCACGGTGCTTTTGGGTCTCGTCTTTTACGAAATCTGCGACGAGTGCGACGTGTTTTCGGAAGGGCTCGGCATGAGCTACCAAGCGTTCTCAACAATCGGCTTTGGCATCGTCTACCCGATGCACCGGTGCGGCAACTATGTCATCATCGTCGAGGCGTTCGCGTCCATGCTCATGCTACCGGCGATGGGCGGTCTCCTCTTCTCGAAGCTCTCGATCCCGCGACTGCGTGTCGCCTTTAGCAACGTCGTCGTGCTGCAGCCCAACTACGTCAACGGTCTGCCCGCGCTGGTCTTTCGCGTTGCGAATCCGAGCCCGTCGACGCATCTCGAGACCGATGTGCTTCTGGACGTTCGGTTCCTCGCCGAGCTCCACATTGCCAGTCGCCTCGGCGTAATACGGAATTCGCACCCTTGTGGTCTCAGCGTTTTCTCGTGGTAGGGCAACCATGTACTGCAGCGGTTCGACTTGCCACTGCAACAGTCGAGCTTCATTTTCTTCCGATTCGCGCTCGAACTCGTCCACGTCATTGACGCCACGAGCCCGTTGGCGCCCTTTGCTGTCGCGATGGCGATGGAGGATGACGCGATGGTCATCACATTAGCCATGGAAGCGGTCGACGCCAACCGGCACACGTCCGTGCTCGATCAACACGCGTACGCCCAAGCCGATGTCCGCGTCGGGTTTCGCTTTGCCCGCATGCTCTCGCCACAGAGCGCGGCCAAGCTCGCGCTTGACTTTGACTTGCTGCACGCGGTCGAGGCCGCGCCCATGGTCGCCCCGGTGCCGCTGCTGCGCAAACCAGCGCCAGCGACGATGTGCACCCGAGCGCGACGCTGACGCCGTCGCGTCACGTGGAAGCCACCATGGAAGCCATGCTGCACGAAGCCCTTGTCGACGAGACGACGCATGATGCGCGCCTTTCGATCGGCATGGAGAAGGAAGGGTATGTGGCCATGCAGGACGACGTTCCGCTCAATGCGACGACGATTGCGCCGCTTCATGCTCCGTTTGCGGCGCAGTACTACTACCACCGCATTCTGAGCGCCCACTGGCTGCCGGTCGTCGCCGAACTCATGCTGGCGTTCCTCGCCATCAGTGTTTTCTTTGGCTGCCTGCACTGGCTTCAGGTATGGTTTTGGTTGATACCTTGATAGTCTTTGATATGGATTCGTGGCACTGGATTGTAGTTTGACGAAGGGCTGTACGTTCTCCACGGTCTCACCGAACACAACTCGAAGTTTGAGCTGTGCTTTTACTTGAGCGTGCATACGCTTTCGACGATCGGGTATGGCACGATTGGGCCCGCGCCCAACGACGTGTACCACAACACGATTGTCTACACCGAGGCCATCATGGGGCTCACGTTTGCGGCCATTTTCACCGGTTTGGACAATTTTTCTGCCTTTTGTGTCTTTGATGGAGTCAATGAATTAGGTATTTGCTGGTCGAAATTTGCCAAAGCCCGCGCCCACATTCGATTCTCAAAATCGGTCGTCGTCACCAATGTCTTTGGGCAGCGCTGTCTTGTGTTTCGCGCGATGAACCTGCGCAACATTGGCGAAGTCCGCCAGTGCCACTTCAAGTCCGTGTCAGGACATTCTTTTTGTTCAAGGCTCAGGTGTTGAATGTAGACTGGGGGCATTCCTCACGGACGAGAATGGCCACCGCCGCATGATGGACCTCGCGCTCGTCCAGCCGCAGTGGACCTCGATCAACGTGCCAATCACGCTCGTCCACTGCCTTGACGCAGCGTCGTCACCGCTCGCAACACTCTCGGATGCCGAGCTTCACAACCTCTCGCTCCTCGCACTCTGCTCGGGGTTTGACACGACCTTTTTCGAGACCGTGTACGCCCGGCACATGTATTTTGGTCCGTCGATCGTCCTTGGCAGAGACTTTCAGGACGCTGTCGCCTTGTACCCGGACCGCGTCGTCGTCGACACGGCGTGTTTTGATTCGTTGATTTAAGTCCGCCGCGTCGTTAGTGTGAATAGTGTTGTAAATATCATTACGTCGTGAAAGAGAAAACGTCATTTGGATGTCGTCGTGGCGCTTTATACATCTCTCGAACAACACAACGACACGAGTGTCCGTAGCAAATGAACCTCAGGATAGTTCACATATACTGGTAGTAGCTTGCAGTATAGGTCAACTGTCCATGGTAGTAGCGTGAAATGAGTGCTGTCCGACCCCTAAACCTAGAGCTTGATACCAGCCAAGGCATCGGCCAATCCAGGGCGGTCGGCGACCGGCGAGCGCGGAGCTCGAGGTGGCGACTTACGCTTCTTCTGGGGTTCAAATGGCTAGAGTCTCTAGCCACTTGACCCAGAGAAAAGCTACGCGAGACCCTTCTCTAGCCTGGAGAAGTGTTGCCGTCACTGCGTGTACAGAGTGTATCACCAAGTTGGATTGACTGATGTATACGAAAATCATGTTACATGTGCAGTGCCTCCAAATACTTTCGTCTTCCTGCAC